AGGTGATGGCTGACTGCAGGAGTGAGCTTCTGGTTGCTGAGAGCACCCGCTGGCCAGCCAGCCCTGCTACTGCAGCCCACAAGGCAGGTAAGTCCCACCACCATTGGCAAGTCCATTCCTGACAAAGCATTCACACTAAACAACACATCAGGCAGATAGGGGCTTAATCTTCACACTTAGACCTGACAGCTGGGTTTGTCTACATAGGCATACATTAAAGTGTTTTTCTAATTAAGAAAGAACAGTAAACAAAGAATAGGACACAATAGTCAAGCACTAACCCGACACTCCAGTGAGGAAAAACCTGCTTCCCAAGTAACAAGTGTTTGTTCCACTCTGGTCTCTCCACCATCTTAAAGAATCATTACAAATAGATGCAGCTGATACATCCAGCATTCCTGGGAGATGGACTGCCTCCCTTCAAGGACACACCTGGTTAATCACACTGCCAGCTCTATAGGAATCTCTGGAACTGTGTGGAGGGAGTTGGTCCACTAGCCTCCAATAGGCTCACATAGTTTGCTCAGCTCTGTGCTCTGGCTGTGTATAATGTGTGTAGGGATCCCCCCCCCTCCCTGCAGCTAATAGAAAGCTAGGATAGATGTCTTTGGGAACTCTGTGGAGGAGATAGGTGTGGCAAAGTCATCTGTTGTCTTTACTGATGAGATTGCCCTTTTCACTGTTGTCCACAGATATATTTGTAGTCAGTGAGCAAACATTTTGATCTAGGCCTAAGGATTCCAAGCTCACTCCCTGGGCCATGAAATCCTCCTAGGCAAGAAATGTAAGCTCTGTGTTCCAATTATGAGTTGACAACAGCATAGAGTTTTTTCAGGATAATGGACAAAGTTAGACAAGTATTGCATGCTGTTTGTTTTGGAAGCAAGTGTGTCTTTTTTTTATTGCAGTTAATAATTTTTTTTTTTACTTTTTCTACAGTGTTCAACCAGCCAGCCATTCGTGGAATTATGAACTGGATGTGCCGACGCATTCATTCATTTGGGGCCTGCAGAGGATGAGCCTGCCATCATGGCATTTTTTAAGGCCCAAGTTTAGTTTTTTTTTTTTATTTTTTTATAAATAAAATATTCTATTTATATTTGACAGTGCACTGTGTTGTGGCCTTCTTTAGCCTTTGCAGGTAGGCAATCTTCTTCATTGCAGTTTGAGCTGATCTGCATGTCCCTAAAGCATTGCAGTACTTGGCTAGCTCCAGCTGCAGTGGCCAATCCTGTTTTCCTTGAATTTTTGTCCAAACAAAGTCTTTTCTGGCAAGTCCATCTTTAGGATTGCATGTTTCAAAGAGGTAAACCAGCTCCTTCAACCCTAAGCTTGGATATATAAAGATTGAAGTTGTCTGCTTGCTGTCTGCAGCTATTTCCAATCTTAGTTTGCTGCCGCTTGTGAAATGCCGCAATTGTTTACACAGAACACTCCATTCATGTTACATTGTTTACATTTGGAGTAGCTCTTCAGTCCATCCAGGGACTTCAAGGTAGCTTGGTGGAGTGTAGTTGTGAAGACTGGCAAAAGGGGAGGTGCAGCCAAGTAGATAATGTGTGGGTGGATCCTGTGGGCAACTCTGTCAAGATGTTTCTTCTCACCTCATTTCTAATTGGGATTGGCATTACACAGAAGCCACATGACTTGAAAGCTGCTCTTGGAAGGACTATCAGTTATGGATGAGACCACTTACATGCAATGTCCCGCAGCAAAGAAGAGGCCCTAATGGCCAAATTGACTATCTGCTCACCACATACCACTTGGATCAAACTTGTTGCTCATTCACATATCAAGTGTTTTGTCAACAGGAGGTTGGAAGGGAATGAAGTGAGGAACAAGAGTCCACTGGGCACATAAATTCCATAGGCACACATGTCTCGAATCAGGCAGTGTAAGATCCTATGCTCCCCAACCAAGCTCGTGGCAAGATGTGTAAAGCAAAGCAAACTTAGGGTCAAAGCATAATGATAGTCCAAACAACAGAAGTCCTTTTTCTTATTCTCACAACTTTTAGGTGTCTCTAGCTTTCCTTGGCAGGCTTAATGTTTGTAATTTGTAGCCTGGTTTTTCACCTGGTGGCCTGGCTATTGACACACTTCTTTTATAGTGTGTGTCATGGAAGTAGCCCAGGGAATGTATTTGGACAGCAGTGTCAGTCTCTGGGGAGGCAAGTGTTTGATGCAGGAGTCTTCTTCAAAATCAGCATCCCACAAAGAGCAAAGCTAGCCAACAATTTGCAAACAAGCTGCAATATTGTTTTTTCCCATATTTGGGACAGTTAGCCTTGCCCACAGAGTCCACTGATAATTCTTTGCTCAATTGGGTCAGCCAAATTGATAGCAGATAATGCCCAACTGCTACATGTGTCAGAGAACTTGTTTGATGTGGAACATCTAGAACTCTTTGAAGGACACACCACCAGGTAAATCAGCAGAAAGGCCAAAGAGTATAACCACCAATGCCTTGGGAAGTGTCAACTTTCAATGTTATTTAGTATGTGATGTTTTTTTTGAGAGTTAACTGTAGCTATCGTTCCCATAGAGAGGGACACGCTCATCCATTTTGCTCCAAACCCCTCCATATTGTATCTCTCTCTCTCCCAAATCAGATTCTTCCGAAACCCCTCTCCCCTCTTGTGTGTGACGTGGTCTGGATGATGACAGAGATCACAGGCAGCAAACTCATTGGGAGGTCGTCATGGCTATAAACCTTACTAGCTGGCGCCCCTCTGTCTGGGAGACTCTTGCTGGAGAAGGGGTTATAAAGCCATAAACCGAGCCATCGCTGAGCTTCAAAAGACATTCCAGGGAATCGTAAAACAGACTTACATTTTAAAACCCAGTTTTACATATAATTTTATATCTCCAAATAGGAAATAATTATACAAACAGGGAGCACATATTCGGATGGCTCACTTTAAGACAAGTCGCCTGGTATATTACACACCCTAGCTGTCATATACAGGAGAGCAGAAAATTATATCTCCTTAACCATCCAAGCAGGTATCTCATATGTAGACATTTAGCTGAAGATTCTGCGTATTAATCTACTCATGGATAGAATGTTACATGTATCCAGGGTAAGTTATGAACCCTAATATAAGCAAGGAGTGATTTTTGGTCATAGCTTAGGTCTCCGCCTGCCACACCCACCCAAATGAGGCAATTGGTTCTCTGCTTCAGGTAGACACCCTGCTGAGTTCCTAGATAAAGGCTGTGATGTTTGAAGTTAAGCTAAGCTGACTTGAGAGAAATGGTAGAATCTCCCTTTTAACATCGGAACTAACTTTGGGAGATAAGCCCCTTTTGGCTGTGAAACCTGATCTGCTTAACCAATGGCAAGTACTTTATCCCTCTAAACTTCTGTTCTCTTTGCTGTGCTATTGTTTTATCTATCTGCTACATCTTTTTCTGAAAATATTTTTCTTGCACCCTTTTGACCTTTTAGTAATAAATATTACTTTCTGAAAGTGTTGAACTGTTTTTTAAAGCTCTTTAATGCAAAACTAAGCACCCCTGCCTCCGAAGAGCGCTACTGTGTGTGTGTTTTTAAACTTCAGTGTATCGCTGCCTGCGCTGACAGTGATATACCGATGCTTATGCAAACATCATTAGGGCTATTGCTGATATTGCCAAGTTTCCTCTTTCTCTGTACAAAAAGGAGGTGTTTGCAGTGTGAAGGGTTAATTGCGTAATTAACATGACCCAGTAACAATCGCTCCCAGGCTGTCGGAACACAGATTGTGGTCCATTAGCTAAAAAAGCTTTGTGCAGGGTGCAGCTGGGCGTTAGTGGCATTGTTACACACTTGACAGCACTGTTTTAGATTGGCTAGTCCTTCGGTCAACAGTTTGTTGAGAAGGGCTGGGGTCTGATGCTGCAATCGTCAACATTAACTATTTAGAATTACTGGTAGCAACACTCCAAAAAAAAAAAAACCTGTGTTGGATTCCCTACATGACCAACTCCACATTATTAGCCCAAAAACATTTGACAATATGCAAGACATGTTCAGCCACTTTAAAAAAAAAAATAAACACAGTAAATAAACATTGAGTGGCTAAATGGTTAGCACTTCTGCCTGGCAGTACTAGGGTCTTTGGTTCGAATCCCAGCCACAGCACCTCCTGACTGGATTTTGCATGTTCTCCCTGTGCCTGCATGGGTTTCCTCCAGGTCCTCCCATTTCCTCCCACACTCCAAAGACATGCTGGTAGGTGAATTGGATCCTGTCTAAATTGGCCCTAGTATGTATGTCTGAATGTGAGTTAGGGACCTTAGATTGTACACCCCTTGAGGGTTAGGGACTGATGTGAATGTACAATATATATGTAAAGCGCTGCATAAATTGACAGTGCTATATAAGTACCTAAATTAATGGGGGGGGGGGAGGCTGTGGCTCTGGCGGCAGCAGGTGCCGCTGCGACTCTGGCGGCAGCAGGTGCCGCTGCGGCTCTGGCGGCAGCAGGGTCGCTGCGGGGGGGTATGAGGGTTGGGGAGGGAGTAGGTATTGAGGGGCTGTGAGAGGGTATTGGGTATAGAAAGCTGGTGAAGGGGGGCAGGGAAAGTAGGGCTGGAAGGCAGTGTACATTGGTTGTGAGGCTGTGAAAGAGCGATAGGGAGTGAGTGCTGAAGAAGGGGTTGAATGTGTGGTTAAGAGGGGTCTGTTGGGAGGGGCATTGGGGGGGCTGGATGTGTGCACGATGGTCGTGTACGATGTGTCTGGTAAGGGCGGTAACGGTATTGAGAGGTTTGTGTAGGAACAATGTGAGAGGCTATGAAAGTGGTGGTGTGGTCAAGGGGCAAAGTGGAGCGTGAGGAAGGTGCAGAAGTGTGAGGCATAGGTAAGGAGTCATACTGGACCTGGGGTTGAGGGGGCTGGGGTTTTCTTGAGGGGGCTGCTCCAGAGTGGGTGGCTCCTGAATTGGCACCTCCAAAGATTGTTCCCCTGCTGCTTCCCCACCACTTTCAGCAGGGGAACTGTGTGGCACCATTGGCATTGATTCCAAACAAGGACTACACAAGGGTTGTGAGCCGCTGTTTAATGGTGCATTTTGATCAAGCCCTGCTTGACACAAGGCTCAGATATCACGCAGCAGTGCATTGTTTTGCTGCAGTGCTGCAGTCTGAGCCCGGACATCCTGCAGCGCTGCAGTCTGAGCCCGGACATCCTGCAGCGCTGCCGTCTGAGCCCGGACTGCAGTAACAAGTACAAGCAGGACTGCCTGTTGGAGCTCCTGTAAACCTTCTAAATTAGGTGGTGCATTATAAAGCCTCCTTTGCTCCCATAATCTATCCATATGGAACAACAGCCTTTCCCAAGATTGAGAAGAGTGCTGGGTCCAGATGGGTGAGGTGCCGATCCAGCTGCATCCAATGTTGGCTGCAAGGAGAAACAAACAAAAAAAATTATTAAAGAGTGTTTAACACACAGCACAAGCATACAGTAGGACAGGGGGCTCATCTGACAACAAACACTAGCTCATGTTCTTGTCCCACCCGTAGGACCAGGTATTGGCAAATGCCTTTCCCTGACACATTACACTGGATGAACATTTGCCCGAAATAAATGATTTGACATCTTTACCCAGACTGATACCTTCCTGCTCTGATTGGATGTGATTGGATTGGGATTTAGACAAAGTGAAAAGCTAAAATTTCAAATTGTCACATGCACATCATTCTCTCCAGCTCATGACTAAGCAATGATCCCAAAAAAGTAAGTTACACATCACGGTGCCAAATCCTGCCCAGCCAGGAACAGTTATACTCTAAATGGGTAACTCATTATGGATAACATCTTTAGCATCTCTTACCAGAGGTTCAGTCCACTCAGTTGTAGGTGATGGACTTTGATGTAATACAGGAGTGTCTGAAATTCTCTGCACCACAAAAACAAAAAAAGTGCATTACATTTCACAAATACACATGCATGTGAACATCCCCACCCCATTACAGCAGTTCCTATACCCCAACATCGGATGCAGATTGTTCACCCACTCTATCAGCTGGGGCATCCAAGTCAAAAAGATCTGAAAATAGATTTCAAGATGATTAGCAACAGATACAAGTTAGGCTCTATGTATGATCTGACATTTTTGTTCAGGGTTTGAGGGATTGCTCATTGTTATGTTTTTCACAACAGTTTATGCAGAGAAATAGAACACTGGCAGCCACAGGCCACGAGACAGAGTTTGAGAGTAGAAAGAGGCATGGTAAAGCTCAGGAGCAGGGGCCACAAGAATTAGTGGGCACCTTTCCTGCCAAACAAGGAGGCAGATGTGTTAGGATGGCTACAATATGCCCATAAGCTACTGCAGGCTTTTAGACCTTGGCCTTCAAACATTTAATCCAAAGATATAACATTTGTTAAGGCAACATTCCAAAAAGGCTTAAATACCAACCCAAAATGCTCCAATCAAATATAAATGTGCCCCAAAATATTTACAAAGCACAACGCATGTAAATGCATCCCAAAGAATTGTTGATATAACTGTGGATCTGAAGAGATCAAGACCAATGCATACAAAAATCCTTGAATCACTTTTAAAACGTAGGTCTCATGACAACTCAATGTGAAAAAGAAAATTATTATCTCGTGCCAGTCTAAGAATATCCAAAAAGATTAAACAACCTTTCCAGACAATTTGAAGCTGTTTGAGCTACAAACGGCGGGACTACTCAATATTGAACCATACGGACTAAGACTGAAAAGCCATTCAAGTTCATGTGTGCGGAAAGGAAGGCATCCCAACAGTGTTGCCAATATAGTGTATTTGTCAATGAACAATAGATTAGTCTTTATGATGCCTTTTGGGCTTTTAGGCAGCTTTAAAGCAGAGGATCTGGGTGGATAGGTCTGGCAAAGGAATAGATCTTCCTGCTAGTCATGTGATGTGCCAAACTCAAGCAGTCTAATTATTGGCCTCATGTTTACATGAGAGGCCAAAAACATTATTTCATTTACTTTGTTTTGGGGGGGGGGGCACTGTAAAATGATTTGCCCCTGGAGATTCCTTTTTCGGGACTTAGAAAATTAACATTTGTGTGTGCTTTTAATTGTGATCTGGCTGGGTTTTTTGGCTTTGGGATAATGGCTCCAAAAATACTCAGTGTTGGTATGTCTTTGATTTTGCCTCTGCATTTTGAGCTATGGTAAAATGGACGCCATCACTTTGAACTTTACAATTGGGTGAGTAGCTACATTTCTTGATGTTGACCTGTAAAGTTTTACTAGGCTTAAGTCCCAGATCACATGATGAAACAAGTCAGGAGAGAGGGCCCACTAATATTACTGGCAGACGTGTCTGACAGATTTTTTAACCACTTGCCTACTGGCCAGTTAAAATCCCTTTCTGGGCTGGACAATTTTCACCTTTCAGTGCTGTTGCACTTTGAATGACAATTGTGGTCATGCAACACTGTACTCATATGACATTGTTTTCACACAAATAGTGGTTGCTTTGGGGGATATTTAATGGCTGCTGGGTGTGTGTTTTTTTTGTTTGCCCTAAAAATACATAACCACCTAACAATGGGAAAAACTATGTTTCTCTTTCTCTTGTTTTGTTTAATCAAATTCTTCAAACAGGTAAGTTTTCACCTTCACTGAGCTGTTGATGAGACTGCAGTGATGAGGGCACTGGCACGAATCTGCACCAATTATGGCCACTGATAGGCAGCACGGACTGGTGGCCCTGCTGGGCATTGATCATCATGGCAATGATCATCAGTGCCTTGATGATCGGTGGCAAGCCATCCTCTGAAAATTGCCAGTTATCTGCAGTACATTCCTCACACTGACAGCATGTGGAAAGTGCAGCCGATAACTGGCAACTGCATTGAGCGTTGATCTGCCGTGATCACGTGATAAAGGCCACAGAGGTCGGCAGGTGTGAGCCCCCAGGGGCACGCGGGAGGGCGTCATTTGATGCCCTCCCCGGACTGTAGACCAATGACAACTACAGTGCGGGTGACAAGTGTTTAAACACTACTCTGGAAATCAGCATCCTTAAGGGGGTCAATAAACTCATTGAATGGAAATGTAAACAAACATGAGCTCTTTTGGGATTTACTTTTAACAAGGATTTGCCTAGAGACCTGCGGCCTTAAAATGATACTTACTGATTCCAAGAGAATTTGAGGAATGTTGCCAGTTCTGCCAACCATAGTGTTGAGCAAAGTGTGTTTGACCTTCCCTTTGTGTGGCAAAAAACCTGAAGTTGAGCGACACAATTGGGAAGTGATGGGTCCCTGTAGTAGAGTACATAATTTCCTGTATATTGAGCAGGCATGATATATGCATGCCACTAAACACCCGACACATTGGATATTCTGAGACTGTCAGAGTTTAGCATTTTGACGTTGGTCAGATTACGTGTATGTGTTTACATGCGTGGAATGTTTTTGTGTCTGGGAGAATTTCTGAAGTTGCGAGGGCGAGTCTGATTTTGAACGCTCAGGAGATGTCAGCTAGTTAGTACCGTTTGCAACTTTATTGCTCTCATCAGTTATTTCCCCAATTTGGTTTTGTGGGGTTACCTGCTTGTATTGGCCTGGGGAAACTGGGACCACGACATTTGGCAGGGAGTAGACACATTTCTGTGTGGTAACACTTTTTTACATTGATTTCTTTAGGGGTTTGAGTGCAGTACAGTGAGGAGGCCCAAAGAAATACAGTGTGTTGTGGAGATATATTTGTGTTCACACAGAGTTTAGCATTTGGTTTGTTCTGCATTCCTAAAAGAATGCTCATAGGCTTATCATGAGTGATAAGTTCTAGGTAAGCACATTAATACATACCCAGATCTTCCTCCTGGCCTGACTGCAGTGGGGGTAGCCTCTCCTCCTTCTCCTGCTGATGTTGTGCTTTGAATAGGACATTGACATGTGAGATGATGTTTGATGTTTTAGCAGCCTGTTCAACATTACGGGGAGCATGCCCAATGAGTACTTACCAGGAGGGAACACCTCTGGATCAGCGTATCCCTGATCTGAGTCGTCTGAGTGGCTGGCAGGGGCAGCACCTGGCTTGGGGCGGGCTACAACACAAGACAAAATGAACAACAAATGTAAAGCTACACTATTTCACACACTTTGCTTTTCAAAAAGATAACACAACTTTAAAGACAATATGGACACTTGTAGTGTACTTACCACTCTGCCAATCATCAGTATCTGCACAAGCCGTCACCCCCCCAAAATCGTGGACATGCTGAGTGGTAGAAGTGCTTGTTCTTCCCAAGACAGGCGCTGAAGATGGGCAGGATCCACACCTCCGATGGTAACATGCCCCTGCTAAGCCCACTCAGTCAACTTACACTTTAAATTCCATCAGATCACGCATTCTTGAGGTTTGGGAGGGTCCGGTGTGCCATCCTGCCCACTGCATTCACGGCCACCACGATTTCCTCCCACAGATGGTCCTTGGCCGCCTGACCGCTGCGGGAGGACCTGGACCCCAAAATTTGTTCTGACCTTGCCATAAAGGCAGACACCAGGGCCCAGGTCTCATCGTGGGAGAAGGGTGGAAACTTTGGCTCGGTAGGGGCCTGGGGCCGGGCCCGGCTCCATCTGCCTCCCCTTGATGTCCCTTCACCAGGACTACAAGGGGAGGCAGCAGCCGCAGCTTCCGCCTCTTCTCGGAAGGAAGCCTGGCTCCTCCTGCCACCAGCTTGGCGCCCCGTCACACCAGAGCCAGACCCCGGCCCTCCATGCCCCCCTTGGCTCTAACACCCTTCTGGGCCCCCCTGCCAAATGGCCCAGGGGAAGGCCCTGTGCATCGGAACACCTTAGAAACAGAAAGAATTCTGTCTCTCAAAGACCTGTTACTGTGCCTTTAAAAAGTCCACCTCTACTCCACTCATTAATCTAACTTAGTAGCACCTGTCTGAGCTCTTTAAAGACACCTGTCCACCCCACAGTCAGTCAGACCAAAGGGGCAATTGGGAAAGACCAAAGAGCTGTCAAAAAAGACACCAGAGACAAAATTGTGGACCTCCACAAGGCTGGAAAGGGCTACGGGGCAATTGCCAAGCAGCTTGGTGAAAATAGATCAACTGTTGGAGCAATTGTTAGAAAATGGAAGTGTTAGGGATCCTACCAGCGGTAGCCTCTAGCACTCCACAGACCGGAATCCCCCAGGGCGCGGTGTCTAAGCCCCAACCTGCTTGTTCACCAGGGCCCCTGTTGGTGGGGATGGACTTGGAGCAGGCCGAAACCAGGTCGCGGCCCCTGGATTCTTCCAGCTGCGGTAGAAGCACCGCTGGTGGTGTGTAGCAGGTGAGGGTCTGATGTGAGGAGGTAACAAGTGCAGCGTCGGGCAACGGAGGTGGCGGTGTGGCACAAAATCAGCAGGCAGAGGGTTCAACAGGTCACAAGCCGGGTTCAGTAACAGGAGATCAGAACGTGCAGGGTTAAGCAGGAGTCAGACAATGGTCAGACAAGCCAGGGATCAAGACAGGAGACAATCAGCAAAATCAGGGTCAGGCAGGGTTGGCAACAAGGCAATCTACAACGCAGGAACTCAGGGAACAGGTAAGACCATACGGCAATTAGAGTGCAGCTCTGACCTGTTTAAATAGGGCGCCCTGCGCCCTGATTGGTGCCAGGCTCACGTCCGCGTTTGTGAGTGCGCATGCACGAGCGCCGCTGCAATTGCGGGTGCCCTGGTCCCAATGCTCGCACGCTAGTGCGGCCAGGCACATCGCGCATACGTAGACTCGCACGCGATCACAGCAGACACTGGGGTCCCTGACAGGAAGAGGCTAAAGACGACTGTCAATCTCCCTCGGACTGGGGCTACAGGCAAGATCTCACCTCATGGGGTATCACTGATGATAAGAAAGGTGAGTAATCAGCCCAGAACTGCAAAGGAGGAGCTGGTCAATGACATGAAGAGAGCTGGGACCACAGTTTCAAAGGTCACTGTCAGTAGAACACTACACCGTCATGGTTTCAAATC